AGTGGTCAAAATTGGGAGCATCTTATCAAACTCTGTACCTGTCAACAGTGGGGTCCCCTAAGGCAGTGTTCTAGGACCAACTCTCTTCATATTCTACATAACCTCTGTGATCATATTAAGAGCAACTGTGTTCTTTTTGCTGATGATGTAAAGCTATTCAACACCACCAACAATACTGCTACTCTTCAAAAAGACTTCGACTATGTATCAGAATGGTCAAACAAATGGCAACTTCAAATCTCAACAAATAAATGCTCTATCTTACATTAAAAAAAATCAGAAAATAAAATACAAGCTGAATAGTCAAGACCTTGTTGATGATCCAAGCTCTGTCAAGGACCTTGGAATACTCATCTCTAATGATCTAAATGCTAGAGCCCACTGTAACTACATAACCAAAAAGGCATTAAGAGTTGTTAACCTAATCCTATGTAGCTTTTTCTCTGGTAATATCAATCTACTAACTAGAGCATACAAAACATTTGCTAGATCTATACTTGAATACAGCTCATCAGTCTGGAACCCACGTTACGCATCTGATATTAACACAGTTGAGAAAGTCCAGAAATAGTTCACAAGAAGAGTTCTCCTCTACTTGTTGCAGAATACCTTAGGCCACCAGACTCAAAATGCTAGACCTAGAAAACCTAGAACTACACCACCTTTGGTCCGATCTAAGTATAGTATATAAAATCATACATTGCAATGTCCTACCTGTCAATGAATACTTCAGCTTCAACCATAACAACACTAGAGCAAACAATAGATATAAACTCAAGGTTAATCTCACCAAACTTGATTGCAGGAAATACGACTTCAGTAACAGAGTGGTCAATGTCTGGAATACTCCACCTGACTCTGTGGTTTCTTCCCCAAACCCCAAAAACTTTAACCTTAGACTGTCTACTATTGACCTCACCCCTTTCCTAAGAGGTCTGTAGGGGGCGTGCATAAGCGCATCAATGTGCCTACCGTCCCTGTCCTATTGTTTCTTTTATTTTTCTTATATGTACCCATTTCATGTATTCAGAACTATGTATATACTTATACCTATTATCTTGTAAGCGATTGACAAATCAAATAAATAAATAAAATAAATATATATGTCTTGGGAGAGAAGCAAGACCCTCTAATAATAAACAAAAAGGCATTATTATTATTATTATTATTTAAAAAAAAGAATTTGGAAAAATGGAGCTCAATGGCTTGTGAAAAGCTGTCTAAAATAATGATAATAATGATTGGTTTTCCTGGAGAAAGTATGAAAGGCAATATTTGTACATGGCATTTTTTTTATGCAAGCAGTTTGAATGGAGGATAAATGTGTAATCATTTTCAGATTCAAAGGCTGGGGGACTGAGGGGCTGGCTCAGGGGTGGGATTCTACCTGTTTGGCCTGGTTTGGGTGAACCGGTAGCTCCGAAGGTCAGTTGTGAGTGAATGGATTTGCTCCAACGATCAGCTGTTGGGCCTACCCGCCTGCCCCGGCTCTAATCTGTGCTTTATTTCTGGGTTTTCCAGCTCAGTGGATTTGCGCAGCACAGCGGATTGCCGCACGTCAACTGTTTTACACACAGGGCTTGCAGCAGAAGGTGAGTTGTAAATGCTGGGCACGGGCGCAATGTGTGCATTTGGCACGCTCACTGAACCAGTTGTTACACTGGTTGAATCCCACCCCTGGGCTGACTGTTAAAACAAAGCAAGGTTATGGCATACACTTGAAAGGAGACTGGGAAGCCTGTAATTGTGGGGTCTTTCTGGCAACAACAAAGAATGCTTATTCACAGAGAATATGCATGTGTAATACCTGTAGCAATTCTCGGTGGTTAGAGGACTGATAACAGTAACAAAGAATTAGACATCCTGCATAGCTCAGCTAAAAGTTAGGAATAGGGATGGCCTGGAGCAAATAGAATGTGTATTAGATAACTCCTGGAGCATTCATTAGCCAAGGCTTAGGAATAGGGACAGCTAGAGACCAATAGAACAAATTGTTAGATCATTACTAAAATGTTTATTAGATGATATTTCTTATTTTCCTGCCTTATCCCGCCTTCTGCTTCAGTGAAAATGTATGAAGCTTTCAATAAAAAGCACTCCAATAAAAAGGAAATCAAAATCTGCACCTCATGTCTGGCATGCTTAATCAGCCTCGGCACAAGGCTCAGACCCGAATTGAGGACAAAAAAATGTGTCCAAAGTACAAAAAAATTGAGTCTGTACTTTGGGCCTCAACTACATTGTCTTGTTCAGTGACCCACTTGTTTGTTTTATTCTTAGTAGCCTATTTTTTATTGTGGTTATGCATTTATTTATTTATTTATTTATTTATTATTTTTTATTTTTTATTTATTTATTTATTCTCTGAGATTGCTCAGAGAAGTGAACCACTGACTCTTCTTTTTGTTTTCACACAGGATGTAATTGCATGCTGTGTCTTGTCTTTTATTTCATAGTGGCTCTCTTAATCTTTTTGAAGATTCAGAACCAGATTCTTCTTCAGGGACAATTGAAGCCAATTGAAATATGTGGTACAAAATATTTTCTATGAGTCTTGCTTCTGGTTACTACTACTGGGTCTGCTTCTTTGATCATCTTCCTTATGGAGAGTTGCTTCCCATGTCAGGACATGTTTCAGAGCATTCTTCCTTTGATCTGATAAATCTTGGCCCAGCTGTGGTGTGGCCCAATCATTTGACTTTTCCTTTAAAAATTAGTAGAACTTTGCATTTGCAAGTGCATGTCAGGTGATATTCTTGCATAAAAGCCAAACAGGCTTCACTGCATTGCAAATTATTGTTGAAGGCCCTTGCTATTTGTAATGTTAGAGTGATGTCTTAATTCTTGTTATAGTTTCTAAATTCCACAGGTTAGCAAGTGCACACTACTTATTTAGAGGGAACATTTGTTAAGGATTACTTATATTCCAAAAATCTGTTTGTCTTTTGAAGCCCTGTGGCCAGCATTTATACATACATACATACATACATACATACATACATACATACATATCAGTATAGTATTCCGCTTTGTTCGGGTATTTTCCCACGTCATTGTAGTTGTGCTTTTAAAGTTGTAGTAACGTCGTTTCGGCAGAATCTCATCTGCCATCATCAGGCTTCTGTATAGTGTTCATCTGTGAGTCAGGCTTTTACAGTGGTTTCAGATTTAAATTTGGGGCAGCCTATTGCTGTGCCAGAATGGTTTTTTCTTCGTCCTGATTGGTTAGGAGTCTTGGTCTGTGTTTATTGGTCTTGGAGTTTGCTGTGTTCTGCTTGATTGGTGTTTCTAATATCTTCTGTCTGTCTTGCTGGCAACATTGTGTTTCCTGTATAGGAGGCTTTTAGTGCGGCTTGGCTCCAAGTAAACGGACGGCTATCATTTATTAGGAAGCTAGGTTTCATCTGGGTGCCTGATTGGGGTGTGTTTGAGCTGGATAGAGGAATAGAAGAATAGAAAAGATGACTCCACCAGACTGTCAATTATCTGGAAGCCTGTACTCTCAAACAAAAAAAATCTCCACACCACAAGCCAGGCAAACACCTGGACACAAACAGACTCCCCCTGATACCTCCAGCTGATACCTCCAATCAGGATGAAGAAAAAACCATTCTGGCACAGCAGTAGATTAGCCCCAAATTTAAAACAGAAACGGCTGTGAAAGTCACAGACGAACACAATACAGAAGCCTGGTGATGGCAGATGAGATTCTGCCGAAACGTTGCTACAACTTTAAAAGCACAACTATAATGACGTGGGAAAATACCCGAACAAAGCTGAATACCGTACATACATACATACATACATACATACACACACAGTATATTTATATATATCCTCCCAACTATTCAAACAGGTGAGGAAGTTCTATTTTTGAGCCCACAAATGATATGTGTTATACCTTTTTGCACATACTTCCATTCCTCACTTCCACTAAACTCATAGACCATCTTGATTCTCACTGCTACACTGAGGTTTCCCACTAGCTTTTTCTCATAAAGAAGATACTCATGTAACTGTCCCAGCTAATTCATAACAATATTGTGTGCTGATGGGCATAGTTTTGAGGAAAGGTTTCATGTTATGTTCAATTTTCCATTATATTAGGAGGTAATTATCTCCTCAGAACTTTATTATCTCTGACAGGATCACAATTAATTTGATTAAAGACCTAATTGTAGGTCTTTCCTCAATTACATCTAACAACAGAACAAAGTCATCATGAACAAACACTTTTCCTTAGTGGCATCTAACCACAGAACACAACCCTCTATTGTTTCTGCCTTTACCTCATCCCCAGCTCATGAAAGAGACTGGATTAAGCTTGTCCTTAGCGCAATATTTTCTGACAATATCTAAAGGCAGGCTCCAGATGAATAGAATAGAATAGAATAGAATAGAATAGAATAGAATAGAATATTCTTTATTGGCCAAGTGTGATTAGACACACAAGGAATTTGTCTCCAGTGCATAAGCTCTCAGTATACATACAAACAACGAAGTGATAAATCATAAAATATAATCATAAGTCATAAGATATAACCAACAAAGTGATAGTTGTAAGTTGTCTGCTCAAGGGTGGAATATAAGTAAGCTTACAATGAGAAAAGACCCAATGTGTGGCATAATGTTAATTTACGCATTATGCATCAATCTAAACCATTTACCATGAACTCATATATGGTCTATAATTTTTTAATGCTCTCATGGAAAATAACGTCCTGTCTTTTGCTTTAGACAAACATTAACATTAATTTTATTTAAATGGAGTATAACAAATGTCTGTAATGTACCTACTTTCTATTACTCCCAGTCAATTTGTGTGCATTAAATCAGGAAAAAGAAATAAAACAGGTCTTACTGGCTTCGCAACCCACTTGGTTGCTTGCTTCTTTTGTCAGTTCTTCTGTAGGCTATATATGTAGGTGGTAGGGAGTTCCTTATGGGAGAAAAGGTACACTTCTTTAATTTCAGCAGAAGCATCTTCTTGGAATGACACCAGCCTTATCACACCAGGACTGAAGAAAGCTGAGAGAGTAGTTTAGTATCATAATTAAGCACTCTTTGATTCTCATTGGATGAGTCAACCTGTTGCATGTGCAACAGGAAAGTCAATGAGGTGCACAGAGCAGAGACAAAGGGATGAACTGGCCATCTGGGTTGTACAGAAAAAGAGCATAGGCAAAGCAATACAATCTTCATCACAGCATACATTTTTGGCAACCTAAGGCTAACCTAGGGGTCATAGAGAAGACAAGAAATTTCTTCTTTTGCCGAAGCTCTTCTGAGGATGGCTTCCCTCTTCCAACACCTGTGGGTGTTGCTATGGAAGAACTGGCTGAGTGTCAAAAGGCAACCGGTAAGTATAGAAATTAAAAAGCAAGATAATTTTAAGTCCCGGGGAATCTGGGAGAAAATATTATTTAAGGAAAGGTAGTAATACACTTTTTCAAAATGATGAGTGTGAACAATATTTTCTTTAGTAAAATTTGATTGCAAATGTTGTGCTCTTCCATGTCTGATCAATAAATAAGTGTCATAACTGTATATTTTATACATACATGTATCTATGAATTCTTACTTGGCAAGCAATGTTTGGGTTAGAGTCTTTTCTTCATTGCTAATTTTTTCCATTTTTTTTTTTTTTGGTAAAAGTTTTATTTGGGTTTTCACAAAACATAATACAAATAAAATATCTTTTTTGAGAGCAGCATGATTCCAGGTTATCACATCTCCATACAGATATCATCTCAGTCACATATTCATCTTTGTATTCAATTTCATATCTTGTCACTATTTTATCAATTTCTCAATAATTTTTCCTTTCCCTTACTTTCCTCAACCTTATTTATAATTATCTCATTCCTTTCTAATTCAATTACATATCTTTTTCTAAATTTCTATATCTTTCTATTCATTATAATTGTACTTTTGTCTGTCCTGTTTACAATTTCATACATTCTTTTTCCATCATCATCCCGAAAGGGAAAAGAATTTTTTTCAATTTTTGTTTTAATGGAGTAGGAAATAAACATGTCCTTGTACTCTAAGTATTATTGCATTATAGTATTTTTACTGAGCTGCTTATATCTTTAGGCATCTCAAGAGTTGGCAACTTACAGCAGGAAGTATTTTGCTATTTCATTAATTAGATGATGCTCATCTATTAAGGTTCATTGCACAGTCAGCCAGATATTCACACTGGATTTGACATTTTTCTACCTAGTCATTTCAAGGGTCTGGGATAGGTAGATGTGGATTATATTATTATTACATTTATTTGCCGCCTATTTTGCCATGGACTATTGTAGGCAACTCACAACCATTAAAAAAGAAATAGAAAGGAAATTTAAACAAAGTAAAAATAATAGAACAATAAAACAAGGAAAAAGAAAACAAAGAAACTACATCAATATGACTAGTAAAAAAAATGCTATGCTGGCTGGAAATTCTAAAAGTTTTAGTCACAGCACTAACTTGGGGAAGGCTGGTTTAGATTAAATTAGAATCTGCACAAGGAAGCAGTTATGCAACAAGTAACTTATTAAAGGTAGCAGCCTTTAATTGTATATATTACATTTTATGTACCGTAGCAGAAATGCTGATGGATTTAGTCATTTGTTTTTTAACCTTCTCTGTGCTGGATTCTCTCTCTTTTGTGATGCCAATTCTTCATCTAAGAGCCTTTCATTAATTATTTTTAACTAGTGTATTTTTTGTTCTATATCTCATCGAGGCTGATTCTTTGTATTTTCCATATATGGAGTTTTGAAGGGTTTCTCCCCTCCCCCCATTTTAAACAATCACATGATAATTGCTGATAGGAGATGGCAGTATTTGTAACAATTTCACTTAGCTTTCAACCACATAAATAAAGCTAGGCTGAAGTAAGGATGAATGTGCTGAGCCAGTGTAGAGTCTTTCCCCAAATATTTCCTGCTCGTTCTCTTTCTATTAACAGCACAGAAGTATTGGAAGTCTCATTCAGAATGGATTATTTATTCTGCTGCTCTACTAATGGTTTTGCTCCCCTTTGTAAGTTACTTTCTCTAAAGATAAGGGGGCATTTACCCCCTTGTCTTTAGCAATGCATTTTCAGTTTTGTTAAGTGCTAAAGTGCAATAAGCCAAATTGGGAAATGGCATATGAACAATGCATCATAAAATAAAGCAGCTTCACTCAACATAGCAGCTTCTGACCATAACAGTACTGACAGAGAGGGAAAGGAGAGGAACAGGTTGGTATAGGGATGAAGGTGTTGTCCTAAAAATCAGGAGACTCTGAGTTTTAGCCCTGCCTTTGGCATGAAAGCCGGCTGGATGACTTTGGGCGAGTCACTCTGTCTCAGCCCAACCTCCTGCACAGGATTATTGTTGTGGGAAAAATAGGAGGAGGAAACATATTGTGTGTTCACCAACTTGAGATTTTTTAATAATAATAATAATAATAATAATAATAATAATAATAATAATAATAATAATAATAATATAACTAATTAACTAAATAAAATAAGCAATAGTCGCAGTGAAGGCCAAACAGGAGCAACAGGGGGACTGAGTGAAGAAATGGTGACAAACTTTTATTAACATAGCTGCTTTCGTGGCTTGCCACCAAAGTAGAAAATTTTGAAGATTTTTAAAGTCCATTTGCTCTGTTAAGTATTGTTCATCTAATCGTGCATTTATTAATATACTTTTATTATAATTTTTCTACAAGTTTATTTCTCCAGGGTATCACATTTATGGAAGTGAAGCCCAAGGTTTTACTGATACTATTTTAATATGTTAAACATATAATTCATTCATGGTGAGATGGGACCACAGCAGATGCATTCAGTTGACAAATTATACTTCATTTTAAGTTGAGGAGATCAACATTTTACACTTGAGTTTGGTATAGGCAAGATTTCTCTTTGCATCTCAAAAATATGACAAAACTATTGAAGAATTATTACTATATGCGTGAAAATAATTTTAACATTTTTTAGAATTTAGTATTTAGAAGTTTGTAAATGCCCATTCTTGCCATTATTTCAAAGACGCTATTTCTCTCCACTCACCTCACCCCCCATTTTGTGAAAATAGAACTTGGGAAAGTAGTATCCAATTTAGCCATAAAGTATTAGCTTTTATCTTAAATATCATTCCTCTATTTATAAAGACTTTTTTTAGCTGGCATCTACCTGTTTTGCTTTTTATCCAGTGTGTCTTAAAATTCACCAGGATGATTAATGTTCTGCAACAGGCATTAATGGGGAGTGACAGGGTGCTCAATCTTGGTATTACTATTACCAGATTTCAGTAATGATTCCAGGAAAGCATTTTGCAGGATTTCTATGGAACAGCTAGTGAGCTGGTGGGGTGGAAGTGCATCCAACCCCTTTTCTCTGATTACATCCTGCAGGTCTTGATAGTCTTCAGGGATTCAAGGATTTGCCTTCTTCTGTTCTTGTCTGGGATGCTGCATGCCCTGGTCTTTCCTCTGATTTTTTTCCTGGGTTGATCCATCATATTTTTAACAGCCCCTTCCCCCAATTCACATAAGGCTACCAAAGCTCAGAGTCTTGGTATGTGCCCCCATCCGCAACTCCACTGGTTCAGTGATGAATATTGCTGGGATCCCCCCTGCTACAAGCCATCCAACTGACAGAAGGCCACTGGCACCTTAAGCTGCTTGAGTCTGATCCTTAGCTTCTCAACTAGGCAGGGTTGTCCAGGCATCTGGTGTGACCTGAGTCCAGAAGGGCCGGCAAATTTGCTTTGCTTCCTGAGGATTGGACCACTAGTTCTATGGGGATGGTCACCAGGGTGATGAGGCCACTTACCAGGGGAAGATGGGGGGAGGTGTAGTCAGAGTTGGTATTGGTTTCCACAGGGCCCTCAGCTGAATTGAGTAGACTTCTATCGCCACCCCTGGGGAGGAGAGAACTCTACAACTTGTACTCCCTCAAGGATGTTTCCTGGATCTGTGGGAGTGACTTGGTGGGTTTCTTTATGGGCCCAGGGATCAGGTTTTTTTACTGGGTGGTTGGCTCTGCACTCAGCTGGCAGTGGCCCTCCCTTCTACACTTGAAGCAAGCAGTTGAGTGCTGCTGTGGGCCTTGGGTACTTGTCAGTGGTTTGGGGGCATCCTGCTTCTCAGGGAGGGATATTCACCACCCATGTCCTGGTTGGTGTTTGTTCTGGGCCAGGTCAACCGTCACGTCCTCCTCCAAGACATATCATCCATGGAGAGCCCCTGGAGATGCAGGTGTTATAGATTTTATCACTCAGCCCATCCTTGAAGCACCTGATGTCTTGTGGCCAGTCAGTTAGTCAACATGCCAGGCTGTGAAATTCTTGGGTGTATTCGGCCACATCCCTCCTCCCTTGGTTTTGATGTGGTCCCTGGCTTTGTGATCTTTGAAGGGATCTTCAGATCACTTGTGGAGGAAGTCATGAAGCAGTTGAGATTTCTCAGCTCTGGGGCATCGTCATTGTAGAGGGTTACCATCCACTGGGCAACTGGCTCCTCCAGGGCCATGGTAATACATCTCATCTTGGCTCCTTCTGGGGGTATTTCTAGGCTGTACTCCACCATGTAGGTCCAGACCTGGGTCAGGAAGAATCCCAGTTGCTGGATGTCTCCATTAAACTTCATATCCCTCTGTGTGTGTGTGTGTGTGTGTGTGTGTGTGTGTGTGTGTGTGTGTTACAGGCTCTCCTTCCTCTTGGAGATGCTCCTGCAGGGGCTCCCTACTGGGCAACCACTTCTGGCACTGGGGTGGTGGCAGCTATCATTGTTGGGCTGGCTGAGGCGCCAACTGTTGCAGCAGAGGTGGATGTTCCATTGCCGGCTGTGGTGGGAACAGATGCATATCAGATTGCTCCATTCAAGCCAGGGTTTTGTGCACTTTGAGGTTCTTGAAGGCATGAACTTTATATCCTGGTCCGTCATTCAGTCTGCTTGATTGCTCTCTCTACACTCATAACCTTCTTCCTTCAGCTCCTCCAGCCTTCCAGGTGGTTGCCCCTGTCCCCATGAACGAATGTCACCCTCTGGGATTTCTCTTTCCAGTCCTTTTTTCTTCCTAACCTTAGGGACCATCAGGGTCTTGGCAGGCCACCCTCCCACAGCCACTCAGACTGATCCAGTGCTCCTGAAAGGGGGACTCATGGATGATCTCTCCCTTCAGTCAACGTTGTATGCACAATCCCCACAGTAGAAGTAATATCCTCCCTGGGTTAACCAAAATTGCAGATATCACTTAATGGCAGACCTGGCCCAAAACAATCATTTAGGAAAGCAGACTCTCAACTCCAATGGAAGTGAAAAGAATTTTTACTAAAGATGTTGGTTGCAGGAAGGTGAGGTGGAATG